GTTTGGACCCTGCAGAGTAGATACGCCTGGTTAAAGTTCAGGGTTTGTGAGGTGAGTTGTGGGAAATAAAACTGGAATGATTGGTTGTGTCAGATCATGACAGACCTTGGACATTGCTTAAAGGAATTTAGACTTTACCGATTAGCATCCAAGAAACACTGGAGTGTGTTTTTTAAAGCATGTTGGTTATGGAATTACTTTTATCTTCATCTGGATGAATCACTGTTCTTTTATCCTCTCATTCTTTCTCTAGACTCAGGATGAGTCTAAGGTTAACCTAACCACAATACTCTGAGTCTCATCCTTTCTATCCGCCTCCAGTATATCAGTTCAGTGCCTCCTCTTTCTCCTGTTGTCAAATAACTCCATTTCCTCTGCTGTCTGACACATCTGTTACTTCCTTCTCCCAGCGGGATCTACAATTGAGCTTCTACCCCTGACTCTTCTTCCTCCAGATCCACACCGACCTTCAACAATATGTTGCTTTAATTCCATGACAAAATGCCCAGAGTATATCCCGGAAGGGGCTTCACTCCTGGTAGCAGTTCCATATTTACTCATTCGCTCCTACGTGTGTGGAGCACCTGTTTGCCAGGCGCTGCTCCAGGACAGAGAAACAGCAGTGAGACAGAGCAGGCCAGTTCCTACCCTTGCAAATGCTGAGTTCTACTGAGCAACCAGGAAACCAACAAGCAGATATAAGGCCAGCTGGCGACACCAGGAGCACGTTACTGCTGGTGCAGTTATTGTAATTGGTTGCCTGTATGTTTCGAATTTGACATTTGGCTTTTCTTCAGTCTCAGCATCAGAAAATTATTTCCTTTTTCTCTCAAACCAGTAACATGGTTTGACTTCCCTTTGTGGGGCAGAACAACATGATATGATGTTCCCAGATACACAGGCTTTATCTGTGGATTCCTTTTCAGCTTATTCCTGGGTAGCCAGTCTGTTGGAGTCCTGAGAATGACCCTTTCAGAATTCCTGCCCTCCCTCCTCCCCGCCCCCAGGCATCAAGTATTGCTTACCATGTGTTTAAATCCTTTCAGTAGCCTCATATATGCCCCCTCTGCTTTCTGGGATTTTCCCATGCTTTTTATCTTTTCTACTAACACCAGATTCATCTTCCTATAACATTTCTTTCAACATCTCACTTGTCTGTTAAAAGCCTTCAATAGCACATTTCCTTAGGATAAAGCACAGGCCCATTTCCAAACTCAGTTATACAGTTTTCCCTCCTACACATGATCCTTTAGAGACCCTTATTTGTTATACACACTGTAATACACCTACCTTAGATTGAATCATAAGAAACTGCCAATTTTATGTATCAAAAATGGTCAAATATTGGCTATTTATGTTTCAACCTAATTGTACTTATCCACATCATTGGCTGCTTGTATGTCTTTCTCCCATGTTACACTGTGAGCCCCCTGATGATCATGTCTTGGTCTGACGACGCTTATGTCTTCACTGTCTGTGTCAGCATCTGGCACATAGCAGCTGTGGGGATCCAGTGCCCCCGCCCATGTCACACTTTGCTCCCACTGCTTCCATCTGCTGAAATCCCCACTCACTTTGCCAAGTCATATCAGGCCCGCCCTCCATGATGCCTGACTCACATCTCCTTCATTGAAATGTTCACTATTTACCCACATCATCCTCCTACCACCGACTCTGAGCTACCAATATTGCCCCCCCAAATCAAATACATTTGACTCATGAACAACAAGAGTGTTGGGGTGCTGACCCCTTACACACACAAAAAAATCCATGTATAACTTTAACTCCCTCAAAACTTAACTGCTAATAGCCTACTGTTGACTAGAAACCTTACCAATAACATAACCTGTCGATTAACACATATTTTGTGTGTTATATACTGTATTCTTACACTAAAGTATGTCAGAGAAAAGAAATGTTATTAAGAAGCTCATAAGGAAGAGAAAATACATTTACAGCACTTACGTATTTATTTTTTAAAATTTGTGTATAAGTGGACCTGCATAGTGTTGTTCAAGAATCAACTGTATTGTTTTTTAACACCCAGGGCCTACGTAATATATTTTACTTTGTATTTGCCACATTGCTTAGCATAAAATTACACTCCTAACCATGAGCGTGAAGATCTGTGTTTCTAGCCCTTATCTTTCCCCCTGGAATCGGCACCACATTTCCAGCTGCCAATGGCATCGCTGCACTTGGGTGGCTCCCTGCACTCTGCTCAGCAGAACTGAGGCTGAACTCTCATCTGCCACCTCCCAGAGCTGCTCCTTTTCTGAACCCTCACCCCCAGCTCTGCCTCTGAGCCATCTTGGTTTTCCTTCCTTCTCAATCCTTTTCCTGAAGTGGATCCAGTGGATCTCGCTGTGACTGCATGTTCCTCGGCCTGGCTTTAGATATGCATACACTAATAAAGCCTGTTCCTGGCGCTTCAAGACGAGAAGTGTGCCTCCCAAACCCTGTAACAGGCTGTAAACTTAGGGCCTCCAACATACAGGCCCCGCCCCAGGTCTGCCCCTCTCTGGGTCCTTCGCTGTCTGCAAACCTGTCCTCTAATTTGAGTTTTCTGGTCCTTATGTGCAGTTATCTTCACTAAAATATAATGATACTTCAAATTATAATCACCTTTGTCTACCAACCATACTGCATCACCCTGTCCCCAAATTATTTCTCTGTCCTGAGAGCTGTGTTTCTTACGTTGTTGGACATGTCTCTGCTATTAGAATGACTGCTGGGGCCCCTTCACTCAGCACTTCATGAGACAGCACTTTTTGCCAGTTTGCTGGTGTCCATGGCTTAGCTTTTGTCTCAGCAACTGAATCCCAAGACCCATGAAGACAAGGCTCGTGTGTGATACCTTGTGTTGTCTACAGTGCACTGAGATAGCGTTAGGCATTCACAGACAGTGCCCAGAAAATTCCTGTTTGAACAGTATGTGTTGTGTGTATAACTTCTGTCTGCGTACATTTATGGATTTGCATGTGTCTCTAGATGTATTTCCCATACATGCTCTAAGAAGTAGTCATCCACGTGGCCTGAGAGGCAGGGATGGTTTGGATATTTTCCCTGACCATCAGGCCCATGACGTAAGAAACCAGTGAGCATGTGCTCCAGAAGCTCACGGCTGTGACTCGCACAGGTGGAGGGCCTCCCTGAGTCGCAGCCTGCAGGTGCTTTTCTTTCCCACCTGCTTGGGACAGGTTTTCCTTTTCCCTCTAATATTAAAGACTAATTTTTCGGTTAAACATAAATGAGAAATGTGTATGTGTATGTGTGTGTGCACGCGCTTATATGTATACACAGGGAGGGGTAAAAGTAGGTTTACAGTTATTCTTATGGAAAACAATAATAAATAATAATACCAGAATAAACTCTGTGTTTTGTGTACTTACAACTGAAAACCTACTTTTGCCCCACCCTGTACATGTGTATATGTACATACATATGTGAATGCATATATGTATATATGAAGGAAATAAACCACAATATGAATAGTGGTTATTTCTGAATGGTGGCTTTTTCCAAATTCTCTCAGGTAAGAAAGTTACTTTTATTTTTTAAAAAGCCACTAGATGTTATTTTTAAAGAATAAGAAGGGACACAATTAGTATATTATTGCTGAGGTCCATCCTATGTGTGGTCCAAGGACAGGGGATAAGCAGGTGCCTAGGAGGGAGCAGGTAATCAGCTTCTCAGTATCTCAAGATGAGACAGAGTGAGCAGAGGGTGACTGGGACTGATGTGCAGGCTGGGCCAAGGCTGTGAGCTGCAGAACTGGCAACTTTGTTTGTGAAGGTCAGGAGCCTTGGTCAGTGAAAGGAGCAAGAAGGCAAGTTTGGCACATGGGAAGGAGATGAGGGGAGCTTGAAATATTCTTTCAAGTTCATGATGAGATTTCATGAAGACAGGTGCATTGGGAGAGAGAGAAAGCAGACCTGCTTCAAGTTTGGTTGTAATGCCTTGTGGTTCCAGAGAGAGGGGGGTCCAGAGTGACTCAGTGTGGGGGCTCGAGAACCCGGGAGAGGAGGCACAGAGAGCCTTCATGAAGGAAAGGGGTAGGTGCTGCATGGGCAGCAAGGTTTCCAATAGGAGCTGCATCATCACCTTAGGTCAAGACCCATTCCTCCCTGCCTCCTACTCCCCCCCCCCCCCAACTCCCGCCCAGTCTAAGGGCAGAGGGAATGTTTCTGGTAAGAATCCTTGATAATAAGGCAGTGTTTAACCTTTCTGAACTTGAAACAGAACAATTATACAGTGGGGCCTTGACTTACGAGTTTAATTCGTTCTGTGATGGAGCTCGTAATTCAAATTACTCATATGTCAAATCTTAAAGTGAACGAGTGAGACACGTGATGCTGGGCTGATGTTGTGGCATTCACTGTGGCGTTCGCTGCGCCAACTAGCGGTGGGGTATCTGAAGTTGGCTTGTAACCCGAATTTTAGCTCGCAACTCAAAGCAAAAAATCAGCCTAGAGACGGCTTGTATCTCGAAAAACTCATTAGTCGGGACACTCGTAAGTCAAGGCCCCACTGTACATGAAACAAGTATTTTCAAGGATGTTTCTTCCACACTGTCTAGTTTCATAGTTCCCTTGGAGGGAGGGCTCCCTGCACAAAGGGAGAAATGGAAAGAGGAAAAACAGGGATATTGATTCTTCCTCTTTCTCGGGGTGCTGTGCTGGAACAGGGGGCACCCAGGCTGTCCCTCGGGAGGGAGCATTGCAGAGGTAACTGCACCCTCGAGGTCTCCCGGCTCCTCACTGAGCTGCCCAGCCAGGAACCTCCTCAAAATTCAGGATGAGGAGCCCTGGGCTCGGTGCGAGCAGCAAACATGCATCTAGAAGCCAAAGGGAGGCCCCTCAGGCAGAGTAGACAGCGTGAAAGAGCAAACAAAATCACAAAATTAACCCTTGAAAAAGAACTGAAATGAAAGGACAGCGCACGGTTTTCATGTCTTCTCCATATGCACAATTCAATATTTTTCCTATTCTGTGGCTCAGTTTTTGATGCTGATGGCTGCATCCAGGACAATTTCCAGTCTGGGCTCTAATTTGAAATTCGCGGTGGAGGAACACCACCAGCACGTAAGTCCCCACCAAGGGCCCTGCCCACCACCCATCTACCCTACCGGGAGACACAGACCTTTCCCTCAGAGTCCCTGCGCCCCCTGGCAGGCCGAGGAAAGTGCAAAGGCTGCCTGCAGGGAAATGGCCCCGGCATCACCCACTGGCAATAACAGCTGCCTCCTGCCTTTCCTACCAAACTCCTCCTCTGAGCCTGGCATTTCATGCACAGTCTCTCACTGATCCTCACAACAGCTCATCGAGGTAAGTGTCATTATCCTCGTCTTGCAGAAACATCACTCAGAGAGGTGAAATAACTTGCCCAGGGTCACACAACCAGGAAGTGGCAGCTCTGCGATTACAACCAATGTCTTTCCTGGACATCCACTATGCACACTGCCTTCCACTGGCCAATTCCGCTAAAGACAACAACGACATGATTCAGGCAGAAACAGACAAAGTGACATTTTGGCCCACCTGGTGTCCGTCCTGTCATTTCCCCCTTCCTGATCCACTGAATGAAACATGCCTGAGTTAAAATACCGAGAACATCCTATGCTCCATGTGTTGTTGCATGTGGCAGTCGCTCACTGCCTTCTGTGCCTAGCACAAGCCAGGAGTGTAGAGGAGGCCATTTACTATGTCTCAGCCACTGGAATAGTCATTCAGGCATATCCCTGCCTCCGTGGTTCCCTAATCCATCAGATAGAAATATCCAGAACATGTAGTCAACTGAAAATGCACTTAAAACATATTGCAAAATAGTTGCCTTAAACTCTTTGTGGAACAAGAAACAGTATAAATCTATAATATAATAAATATGTTCCCCATTGGTGGCTATTTTTATTTCACTGATGTCCAATGATGTCTCTTGTGCACCCAGGGATGGCAGACATCTCTCTGTAGCTCAGAAAACTCCTATTCTGAGTGTCTAGTATTAGAATGAGACCTACAGTATATTAAATAAATATGTAAAGCAGTTATATGAAGGGGTCTGAGCCTGAATAGTGGGAGATGCGAAATCTCAACACAGGCCCCTCCCCTCCAAAAAAAAAAAAAAAGAATGCTGGGAGAGCTGGTTAATCAAAGCCACTGTTCTATCAAAGTGGGTCTCACTGATTCTTGTTCTTCGTGGGAAATGCCAAAGCCAAGGGCTGTTGGGTAGTGTGTGCTGGCAGATGTGTAAATGCAATGGAAATGCTGCAAAGCTTCGGTTTCCCAGTGATGGAATGGTTGGGACATAGAAAAGGCCTCTGTGCTTAGGATTCCAAATCAGGGAAATTAGAATTACTGGGAAATTCTTCAAAAAGCTAATTCCAAGCCCCACCTTGGCCTACTGAATCAGAATGCCAAAGATAGAGGCTGATTGGATATGGATGATATGTGAATTTCAAGCTGAGTTATTTTCTAAATAATAGAAATCATTAGTGTTTAAGAATAATTAATGACTTTTTTTTACACTTCCACTTAAACTTTTCTCACTAGCCCTTTCCTCAGGCCAGATTTTGTGCATGAGATTGTGAATGACTGTCATTTACCTATGCATTGGTGCGAGTTGCTCTTTCAGGGTACTAGCTGGGCTGTGTAAAATAATGGCTCCCCATGTAAAAGTGTCTATATTTTCCCAGGGTTTTAGAGAACAAGTGTTCAGTTTGCCTACATGCACTTATTTCTTACGTGTCTCATGTATCAAACCATCATCAGACAGATTTGCAGGTGCACGGAGACAATCACAACTTGAGGTTTAAGAGGGATACAATTTTTTATGCAAAATCTAATGAATATTTATAGTAAAGTGACCCAAACCACTTGTAGCCAAGTCCTGGAGGATAAGATGGATCCTCAAAATATGTGAAGGGTGCTTCCCGAGACGTTTGGAATCCACAAGCATAGAACATACATACCACATCTAGCAGATGGAGTCTGTTTTACAAGAGGCAACATGGCACTGTGGGTAAGGATAGGTTTGGATCAAGCCTGTCTCAATACTCACCTCACCCCTCCACTTCCAGTTGTATGATCCTGGGCAGAACCTCTCATGCTTCAGTCTGCAAAATGGGGGTAATGGTATTACCCACCCCGTCAGCTGTGCTGCAAATTATGTGAAATGATGCACGCCAAACACACGACACTTTGCCTGACACATGCTAAGCCCTCAACAAACATTAGCTGATAATAGTAAGAATGATAGTAAGAATAATAGTAAGAATAATGTGACATAAATTAGATCTTAATAAAAATATTTTTAAGAACTGTTCTCCTTTAAAGAATTTCAACAACTGTATAAAGAATGTCAAACTCAGTATTTCTAAAACTATTGAATTCTGCCACTAAAATAAATTCTACAGATCTTGTAGCACATATATACACTAAACTGGAAATGCCAGTGAACTACAATTTAGGGGACTAGCTAATCGGGACAGCTGATGCCACCCCCCACCTAATCCCAGGGACTGTGATAGGATGTGAAATTTGACAGACCCCTCTTCGCTGGTAACTGTGAGCTTGGCGGCCACCACTACCTTCACTAGGAGTTACAAATGCATGTACACTCCTGGCTTTCCTCAGAATCTCATCTCCATTCTAAGTCCTCAGTACCCCCTGTCTTCCCCACAACTCAGGGTGACCACCATTTGAACCCAATGCTGAAGTATTTTCTCTCCCTTAATGAGCAGTTTTTGCTGGAGTTCTTACTAAGGCTTTGAAACTGCTGCTCTCATTTCTATAAGGCAAATATGAGGAGCCTTTGACATCACAAGCTGAGCCACCATCAACTGTGAGATCAAACTCTTTAATGTATCTTGACCTTTTCTCTTGGCCAGCAGCCATTGCTGTTGCGAATATGTCACTCCCCCAATCCCACTAAAAGTTGACTTTCTTGGAGGGACCACTGTTCTTAGAGAAACAAAGATCCGTTACTTCAGATGGCCCAATAGAGGTGGTATAACCGGCCTGGACCGTGGAAGCTGGGTTTGCATCATGGCCCAGGTGTACTCACTCTCTCACTTATGTACCCATTCCCTCAGCTGGCCCAACCAACCCCATGCCCTGGAAAAGCTGCAGATTGCCACATGTCACAGACCCATTACTGCTAAAGATCTACTGCATAAATGGGTACACTGTTCTAAGTTTCTTTCCCCCAGTTGAATGTCATGGCAAGACTTGATAGGGCATAGGGACCCTAAAAGGGTTGAAACACGAAAACAAAGCAAAAAGGCATAATAAGCACCAATGATCATTGCCACTAGGACTTCATATTTAATGCATCTCTATGTATATTATTCCTGGCTCTACTGCTTATGGGTCTAGGACAGTGGTCGGCAAACTCATTAGTCAACAGAGCCAAATATCAACAGTACAATGATTGAAATTTATTTTGAGAGCCAAATTTTTTAAACTTAAACTATATAGGTAGGTACATTGTTATTAACTTAATTAGGGTACTCCTAAGGCTTAGGAAGAGCCACCCTTAAGGGGCCAAAGAGCCGCATGTGGCTCGCAAGCCACAGTTTGCCGACCATGGGTCTAAGACACTGGGAAGCCACGGCAGGATTGTCCTACAGGGGACTAATGAGAGGAACAGTGTGTGGTTTTGAACCCTAATCAAGCTGGCAAAAGTGGCCACTCAGCGATCCTCATCTGTGTCCTGGGCCTGCCTGGTCTCGTCTGAATGGCCAGCCCAAGGAACGCCCTCCCAAGCACTGCTTGCTCCATCACCTCTTCTAAAACCATTGTGTATTTGCCACATTGCACTCTGTGCACTGGGTCGCTAGAAGTACAGTAGGTTGCACTGATGATGTAACACTGTTTTCTATAAAGGGCTACGTGATCTCATGCAAATTTTTGGAAAGTCATATGCAAATCACAGAGCCCCGGCCCTTTTCTTAACAGGATGGCAACCTGGCTCCTCGGTGGCACCTGGGACCTGGAGATCCTTTCTCCACTTACGTTTAGCGCGCAGCCTGGGACTTGTCCCTGCAGCTCTCCGGGGTGCCGTGCCGCCGTTGAGACCTCCCACCTGGACTCCCATCACCCACCTCTCTTGAGACTGCTCTGGCAGGGCTGGTGTGGGCTGCAGCCTCTGCCCAGAGGGCAACATGTTCCAAGCAAAATCTACCCCCTGGGCTGTGGGCTCACCCCTCAGGGCTCCCTGCTTCTCTACTGGGTGCAATTCGAGATTGCCAATCTTCTCTCCAAAGTCTAAAATGGTGGGACAGTAGGGAACTGTGAGAGGCCTCATGATCCAAGATACTTCCCCCAGCTCCCAGTCTGAACCCCAGGGACCCCAGGTCCTCGCTGCCCTAGAGGTCTACGGTGTCAATGGACAAGGTCAATAGAGGGAGGTACTTGTCTCTGGAGTTGTTCTCCAGCTTGACCATGTCTATTGTCAGTAGCCCCCAATCTGGAAAATGTCATCTCTCTAATCTAGCCTGCCTCCCCCACCTCGTGAGAAAGAGGGAGGAGGAAGAGGGATGGTTTATGATAGAGAAGAAGAAGGTTCACTCTAGCTGTCCCCAAACATGGGCAAACATCCCCCAGCAAATGTTCTATCTGCTTCAGCCTACCCCGGTTGTGTCAAGATTTTCTAGTTTCTTCTTAACCTCACTCACTCCCAGGGTCTCTGGTTCAGAGACCTCCCTCCCAACCTCCCGCTGCATCCAGATCACCCTTTCAGGGGGTGGGTGGGAAGTAGGAGAAGAAATAAATTAAACGCTCTGGTGACATGTTGATCGTTGTGGAGACTGGAGGATGGGTACGTGGGCGTTCATTATACCATTCTCTCCACTTTTGTATATGTTTGCAATTTTTCATAATAAAAAGTTAAAGAATAAAAAAAAAAGTCCTTCAGCTTCTGAGACTTAAGAGAGAGCCCCAACCCCTAACAGTTTCCTGGAAACCCCACAGTAAGGCAAGAGGCAAAGATAATTCCATTACATATATATGTATATATATATTCATTTTCTAATTTTTTAAAGGCCCATTGCTTTATTTTCAATAGACTAAACCTCATTTCTAAGAGGGCCCAACATTGGGCTCACTCTCCCCAGCTGGGCTACGGGGGAGGGCTGGGTAAAGGGTCCTGAAAATCCTGAAAGTTTACACTTCCATGTGTCTCACAGTCGCACTGTGAGGACGGGGTCTGTTCAGTGATCTGAACTCGGGGAAGCGTGCGCTCAGTGCAGGTCGTGCTCTGGATTGGCACCTGGCTCAGGAAAGGACTGTCTTTGTACTTGAATTTAAATCCAATGGAGAACCTTAACACGGGCATTTGCATGACTGAGAATTGCTGCTGTCTTTTTTCCGTATGTCACTTTCTTGAATGTGTTCTAATAAAATGATTCTAAAGCAGGCTGTTGATATACAGTGATTTATAAATACTTTCTGTCGAGTGCTGAGGCCCTTAATTTTTTTTTACCAAGAATCCACCCTGTCCCACTTCCTGGAAAGATCTGTCTAGCTGGGAACAGATGCCCTGAGCATGCGTCTGGCAGGATGGCGGCACCACTGCAGTTACCATCACTAATAAGAATTACGTCAACCACAGCAACGTTGCCTTCTAGTTACCTAGCAGCAGAATTTATTCCCCAAAATGAAGAGGGCCATATGCAGTAGATGAGTGTGGAGGGGAGGAGGTGGAGGAGGCAGTTCAGGAACAGGCCTGTGAATCAGTGGACCAGGGAACGAGGGAGTGGTGAGGGGCGGGTGGAAGGAGAGACAAAGGCAGCAGATGATAGAGGCAGAGTTCAGACCCGGTCTGTTCAGTGATAAATCTCAGCACATTCAATGGTAATCAGTTGTTAAACTTCATTTATAAAATTGCACCATGGCAAGTGACATACCTCAAAAATCTCATTAAGCAAACTGGAAGCTAAAGGAGAAGATAGGTATTCCCAAAGATATCTTGAGAAACACCTTTTTCCCCCAATCTTCATTCTCCTTCAGCCAGACAGGTTAGGCCACCGCCATGGCCTAGTGACAAACTTGGGCTAGTTCTTTGGGAAAGGAGGCATTGTTAGCCTTACAAGAGGCAGCGAAGGCAGAACCAGACAAGGAGGCTTCCGTTTACACGCACCTTCCTCATCCCAGAGGCCGGGAAGGCCCTTGATGCACGTCATCTCCTCTAATGTTCACAGCCATCCTGAGAGGCAGGCAGTATTGCCTTCATTTCCAGATGAAGCGCCTGAAGCTAAGGGAAATAAATAACTTGTGCAAAGTCATAAAGCTAGAAAATTGCAGATCTGTGATTCAAGTTGGGTCTCTATCCCTAAGCCCCTGCTTTCTCAAACCACAGGGCTGATGGCCCACTGCCCAGCCTGGCTCTCCCTGTACACTGCATGGCCCTCACTGTAATGAACTGTGCATCTTCCGTCTGCCTTGGGGGCAGGGGGAGAGGTAGAGCCAGCTCCGCTCTCCTTGTGTGGTTGGAGATCCCTTTCAGACCAGGGTCTTTGCAACCACATCCATGTGCCTGTGACTTAATAGTGTAGAGCACAGGCTGTTGAGGCTGAGATCACCAGTTGGTTCCCATAAGAATGTGCTCACTCATCAAATATTTGATTGCCTACAGTGCTAAGCATCGTGAATTACGGGGGCAAATACTTACAGACTCAGCCCCAGTGTTCACAGATCTTACCAGTAGGACAGACATTAATCAGGTGACACATGAATGTAGTTACAGCTGGAACGGACCTTGGAGATCATTGAGATCAACATATGACACTGAGACCCGGAAATGCTAAGCAATTTGCCCAATGCCATATAGCCAGTTAGGGACAGAATAAGGACTGGAATACAGAACTCCTGATTCTTATTCACAGACAACTC